GTGTGTGTGTGTGTGTGTGGTCATCTGTCAGCGTGATAAACTGCGCTCATGACGTTCAGCATGTTTGTCACGTTCAGGCTGTTCTCATTCCTATTACGCTCGTAATTGGACTTTGAGCTGCTGGTTGATGACTCAGAGCATTACCTCATGGTACAGGTCACCATGTATGTGCTTGTGTGCACGGGTATATTTGTGTGTTTATCAGTGACTCATGCTATCAGATGTGTGGTGGCTAAAATGTCTTTGTGTTTGTTTGCTGGGTTTGTAACCTCAGTCATATTAAGTCTCTTAAGTTTGCAGAAATTGTGAGGTGTCTTTTCTGCACTTCCTTTTTTAATGTTTTCTTAAGATTTCAATTCATTTTAAAAACAAGTAACTTGTTGGTTGGCCTTCAGGTCAAATTTTTTTTTTTTTTTTTTTTTTTTTTTTTTTTTTTTGTAAAATTAGATATTTTACTATATTTGAGTTTAGCAAAAATGTTTTACCCCCTTGATGTGATGACCCTTTATGAGGTACGTTGTAAGAGAGATAAAAAGTCACTTTAGGCCTCTTGAAAAACAGGAAATATACACTCAGTGCAATTAAATTTTATTTATATAACCTCAGATCTTAACAAGTCACCTCAAGGTGCTTTATATTATAAGGTAAAGACCCTACAATAATAGAGACAAAACTCCAGCCAGGCTGGGGGTGATGGGAGGAAAACAGGACAAAAGACACCCTGTACATAGCTTAGCGCTTACTAAATTGACCATAGATGCCGATGTACATTGATGGATGGATAAATGGATGAATGGATGGAAGTGGGCTGCGTTATAGAGATGCCTTCATTAATTTTCCTCCTTTTGCTCAGACCATTTACATACAAGAGGGAGCAGAATTTAAAATCCAGTGTGCTCAAGTACACTGGCATCACCCTTCTCGTAATAAACATGTATTCAAGTTGTTTCTGAGTGACACTAAAGGTAAGCTCAGACAATTTTAATAACAGTTGAATTCATGGCCGTGTTTCTTCATTGTATCTTCAAGAAGGATATTTAAAATCATTCCAGGAACAGTTAATAACAACCAAACTAATGGTTTAAAACAGATGAAGATATGTTGTGTGCCAGATTCCTAAAGTTCCTAAAATGCTCATTGTTTGGAAAGCAGTTTTCACTTTCATATATGATAGTAAATGAAACCGAAGGTTATCAAAGCCTTGTTCCGAATTAAATGTTTCTTCCGTGACTAAAACACATACACACACATACTGCCTTCTACCTGTCATCATCTCATATTGTGAAAGTGAGACATGGAAAGGTCAAGGGTATTGCTGCTGTTGCTGTTTTGTGTTATTGTAGAGAGAGGTCAGGTGTGGGGGTTGGTTCATGATAGAATAAGAAAAGGGATGAGTCCCTGGAGAAGCACAATACAGAGAAAATGAAGTCCACTGTTGGTGCTAGTATGAACTAAAGGAGACATCACTGTCAGTCTGTCAGGGCATGAAAACCCCCCGAGGACTAATGGAGACTCGCTGCACGGAGCTGGACGAGTAGTGAAGATGCCTGGCTTTTTACTGACGCACACATGCTGTCCGTTGGTCTGTCAGCCTCCAGAGGGGTTACCTTTGCGCTGCTCAGTGTGTGCAACCATGTGAGTCTAGAGGATGTCATGGTATTCGGTTGACACCGCTGAAGATGCACGTATGATGAAGACCCCCAGGTCCTGTTGTTGTGTGTGAGCACCATCCCTTTTCTCTTCCCCTCTGCTCTGAGCTGACCGAGCCGGTCTGTCACTTCGGTTTCCTCGGGCCTGTTTCTGACAGGGCGGATCTTTTTTTTCAGAATACAAACGAGCACCAGAACCTTTCTAAATGTTCATCTGTGGAGAAAAAAAAAATCTGTCTTTGCTATATCCTAGTTTGTGCTTTTTATGTACGTTACAGAGAATCTTTAAAGAAATTCTATTCATTTTTACCATCTGGAGATTTAAAGTTTGGGTCTACTACTTTATACATTAGAGGACCATGACTATCATTAATTCTGACATAGTGAACAGGTAGACTTATGTACTGAATTATTTATGGATGCTCACATGATCCCTTCTCACAAGTATTTGGCTTCAAATGCTAGTGTTTGTGCATCACATACTCATATTTTTGGTTCCACAGTATACACAGAACAATTTCCTGATGAGCTACATCAAGAGTAACGTGTGACTGTCCTGGAAAGCATATGTTAAACAGCTTTTTGAAAATAATTTTTGCCCGTCAGCACATTTAACTAAAGGCATGCTAAGACTTTAATGGCTTACAGTTGGTGATTATCTCCATTTGCTTTGTTTCAGCCCTGGGCGCTCTCCTGTGTCCTTTGACCATGAGATTATGATGATGAACCATGTGTACAAGGAGAGATTCCCAAAGGTTTGTATTACTGACACACAGTTCCTAAAGAAACTAAAGGAAGTGCTAAAAAAAAGGGATGAACAAAAGAACAACAATGCAAGAACCTCAGTTTAAGTCTTTGCTTTCAAAGTTGGTCTAGAATCCAAACAACAAGCAGTTAAAAATGTTTAGAGTTCACTACTGTGTGGACAACTGCAAGAATTTAACTGTTAAAGAATGTAAATTGCATTATACGTAGTTCAATATTTTAAGATTGTTTTTAAGAAGTGGATAAAAACAAACAAACTGCTGTCTAGAACCCACGGACATCACATATGCTGCATTTCCTCCATCGAGATGCTCTGCTAGGCCTTTACTCAGCCAGCTTTAGTTGCTGCATGTTTGTGAATCTTTGTGCAGTCAGTTTAACAACTGAAAATCATGCTCTATTAGGCTAATATCAGGTCATTGACTTGGTCAAATATCTCATTTCTTGTTCTAGAGAGACTTGGATTGCTATGTGTTTGTTCATTATCCAGCACCATCAATTTTGCAGCATTTGCCTGAATTTGAGTGGAGAACATAACTTAAAAAAAACAAAATAGATGCACCACAGTAGTTAAAAAAATCGGTGCTAAGAACATATTCAAAATGAGCATATATTTTCAAGCCCTAATGCAGCACTGCTTTAAAAAAGATGTTGTTCATTACTGTGCAGTAAGGCTGCACATCCACAAGTGCAAATTAAGACTCCAGCATGCAGAGATATGCACATGCGTAAAAAAAATCCAGAAATGCTGTCCAATGATCTGGCTAAGATCTGGCTAAGTCTAAGACATCGATGCGTTTGCTTTGTTTCTATTTTCTATTTAATACAGGATTTATACACAACTGAAATATTATTGCAAGTTGTTTTTATTCAATGAAGCAGCTGCAGTAAGTGCTGTATGAGCAGCATTTTGAAATAAAATACTCTAATTTCTTATTAATATGTGACATCAGCGTTAGTCTCTGTTCCATATTTCTCTTTTTTCTTACAGCGACCTGTCCCTTTAAGTATTTGTTCAATTACTGTGACATAGATGATGTATTATGCTAAAGACTAGAAGTTTAGTGTTTCATTGAGTACATTATTTCAGGCCTGTATCAAACATCATTTTTGAATAATTAATTTTTCAATTAGAAGGGATTTTCCCTTCCATATGAGATTATCTTATAGCCGTGCCGTTTACTGTCTCTCCATGTGTCTCACATGAGCGTTCCTATGTGTGACTCATCCTTCTCCCCACCCTGTAATTGCCTTCCGCCTCCTCCCCTCAGGCAACAGCTCAAATGGAGGAGCGTCTGGCCGAGCTGCTTGCCTCCTCGGCCCCAGAGAAGATTTGCCCATTGGCCGACGGGGTCTTGAGCTTCATTCATCATCAGCTTATAGAGTTGTCCAGAGACTGCCTGGAGAAAAGCAGAGAGGACCTCATCACTTCCCGCTACTTCTACGAACTCCAGGAGAATCTGGAGAAGCTGCTGCAAGATGTAAGTTGATTCACAAGTTTATTCACAGTCCCGCAATAAGCCACTTTTGCTTCCAATTCTTAATCATTCCTTTGAATAAAGCGTGTAAGAGCAATCTAAATATAAGAACTTCATTTGCTTCCAATTGTGTTCCTCATGCACTTCTAAAAAACAAACAAACAGACACACAACAATCAGCTCGGACACTTTTGACCAGGTGTAGACTGCAGTGTTGATTTTAGAGACCTCTAAATGTTTTAATTATTTAATTCTTTTCATTATTTTCTTCTCTTTAAAAATACACAAATAAAGACACAACATGTATAGTACCATCCCAGCCATGCTTGGTTCACTGTGCAACAACTTACAGTGTGACACACACCTTTGTTCACTCATTGCAAGTATGGTTACATGTCTTATGAATGCACAGAGGCTGCCGTTCCTTACAGACCTAAGACTTCCTGGGCTCTCACACATTCCTTCATAAACAGTTTGTATATTTCTGTCAATCAATTTGAATTTACTCGCTTGGTGTGACAAAATTACCTCATGTCCGTTTACACACGAATATCAACATGACAGAGCACAGAAATGTACTTACACATGTGTGAGCGGTGGTGACATCTCTATCAGCTCAGTTTTCGGGGGCCTGAGGGTGTGATATTGTGGCTCCCACAGGCCTCTTATTGACCTTCTGTTCTACTGGGACACATAAACACAAGATGTCTCAATCATAGACACACACATATATGCAGGCAAGCACACACACGCTCTCCGATTTTAATTTCACACTTCAGTGGTCACCGGGGACTGATGGATGACTCTCCCAGACGCAAGGAGGTGCAGTGGAAAGGTTTTGGGATGGCTGAGGATTGGAGGGGATTCCTCTGCTTTCGATTGGCCAGCAGGTTCACAGAGGAAAGGGGAGGTGGATGTACATGCATGAAGCCTGTTCAAAGTCTTTTGGAGGGTGCGAGGAACTCGGGTTGTGCACATCTGGAGAAGCGCTCCCAGCTCAGATGGCAGTGCAGCAATGCGGGCTGAATGATGACATCACCAATTAGGCGACATTAGACTGTTTTTTTTTTTTTTCTTCTGTTTTTTGTAATATAGCCAAGTGCAGCAGCAGGTGAAGCAGACCTCCAGCTCAGAAAATGAATTTGTGAGCAGGTGGATGCAGGTGTGAAGACAACCTCAGCACTTTCATTTATGGGAATTCCACGTAATTTTTGTGGGTGTTTGTCCGAGACATGTATCGCACCTCGTGGCAGAGGAGGCTGGAAGAAGAGGAGGTGGAGGAGGTGATAAGGAGGAGCGAGTGGAAGGTGTTCATGGACTGCTGGGAGGAGGAAGGGACAGATGCCGACTTTACAGTTGAGTCAATTTCGGTTTGATTCAGTGTAGCTTTATTGAGACGTTGAGACTCGGTTACATTGTTGTTGAGGATCAGACTCGAAGGTAAACTGAATGTTGCTGATCTGATGTCATACCTCAGGAGTTGCCTGCACTACTTTCTCTGGCTTTAGTAGCTTGTAACTGTAAATTGTTCTACAAACAAAACCTTTGAAAGGTTCATAAAAGACAAGTGAGCCTACGTCTTATTCTTACCCCTTATCTGCAAGTTGAGTCTAGCTAGTTTTTTGTGGCATTAAGTGCGACTTTGTGAGCAATTTCTTCCCAAATGCTGCTGTTGTTGGCTCAAAAGTCAGTTCAGAAAGGTGATGCATTATCTGGTATTTACTATTTTAACAGGAGAGATCTCAACAGAGAGTTAATCTAGTTTTTCATTCAATATATTTGTAAATATAATTACATCAAAATTGATCATTTTGCCTGATGTAGTGAATGTCATTCATCTTGTCCATCTTAACTGCTTATCCAACTGGAATCAATGCCATCTTTACTGGGCGAAGTGTACGCCTTGGACAGGTGACCTGACCATCACAGATCCAGTGAGTCAAAAACCAAAAGGAACACCTTAAAGGAAGGCTTTTTATCCCCAGATAACTTGATCACTAAAATAAATCAGCCGTTCTTTTTCTTCCATGGCCCTCCATCTCAACCTATCCCTCCTCTGTCACACCACCCCTCAGCATATACTCCTTCACTAAATCCATGAATCTTCTCTGTGGTTCCTCTTTTCCTCCTGCCTGGTGACTCCATCTTCAACATCCTTTGTCCGGTATAGCTACTATCCCATCAATGCAAATATTAAAACAATCTCAACCCTGCCTGTCTAACTTTGTTTCCCTTAAAAATCAGAGAAACACCGTAGAAAAGTCTTAAAAAACAAACTGCGTGAAGCTTGATGGTTTCACTTTCCCCTGTAGTGAGATTTCTGTGTGCCACTCAGTGAGCGTGAGTGAAGTGGAATTTAATCAGCTGAAACTGGAAAATGACAAAACTCAACAGAAACTTGCCATTTGATAAACTGACCCTGTAATTTTACAGGAATAACGGTAACTAAAATAATAGTTTGTATGTTCTCTCAGTGGCTTTTTACTATGCTTCACTGCACTTTACATGAGCCAGTTACAGAGTAACTTTGAGAAATGAGCCTTTCTCATTTTTGAGAAGCTGGTTTGGTAAACCCATTTCCATTTTCATTTTTACCAGCCTACACCTTTTGGTTTCTGCAATTATCAGTCCTTTTCCTTTATCATCATTCCTTATCCCCGTCTTTGGTGTCCTTTCTTTCCTTTCCTTGTGTCATGACCTCATTACAAAATTCACAGGAGGCCGACTAAACTCTCCTCCTCCTGTCCTTCTCTTGTCTTTTTTCTGTCCTCCACCTTCACCCCTCTTCTTTGGCTCATACTCACTTCCTCTCGGTCATCTATCCCTGTCACGAGGCCTTAGTGACCTGTCTGGCGGTCACCATGGCAACCTCCATCCAGGACATCCTCTGCTGGAACCCCTGGGAGACCCTGTTAGACTCCTGGAGGTCACCTGAGGGCAGAGGGTTGTAGAAAGCTATCTCAGCTCCAGTGATCTGTCACTAAGTGTCCATCCTTCACTCTGAACCTTCAACAGATTTGCCACAAGCCATACACAGCTGCAAACACCTGCTTTTAATAGTCTTTTAGCTGAATTCAGGTACAACTGTGACCTGCTTGGAGGAAATGATGCATGCTCTCTGTTAAGCATGAGAAAAAGATCTTTTCTTCCATATGTTATGGTGTTAAAAAAATTAAATTGAATTGAACTGAACCAAATTAACACCAGAAATTCACATTCAATCATTCTTAAACATCTCACATTCACTTTTTCATGAGTGCTTGTGGTGGTACTCTTCAAATGAATAAAAGCAAAGAAAATGGAATTTGAAGTGAAGGAAAAGCAGCTCACAGGGATCTGTGACTTTGTTCCACTGTACTGAGTGTTGCTGTGTGATGACATCATTTCTGTACACCGTGTATTGTGATATTGTTGTATTAGGTTATCTGTGATCCCCACGTCTCTCTGTTAGACTTAATGAATTTACCTCTGATCTAAAAAAAAACTTGCATTTTTTTAAAATAAAAAAAGACATAAATATAATTTATTTATTTTATATTTGCAGAAATGCAGCTAAGGTTGTGAACATTTTACAATAAGATACTGCCAAATTACATGTACTTACATGTACTTCCCTTTAAACAAAATTGAAGCTTAGTTGAACAAAAACAGTTATTGTACCATTTGTTAAAATAAATAAATGAACCTAAAAAGTCCGTAAACATTTGGTGAGACCACTTTCACTGCCAGCAGTTTCCAGCATTTCCTGGATTTCACTCTTAAATTAGGATTAAATTAGTTTAATTAAGTCTTACTAAGTATATTTACTCACTGGTAATCGGAATTATTATTCATTTCACACCAGCCTTGATGATTCACAAGAAATTGAATTTGTTAATGAAAATTAGTTGATCTTTTTCAATATAAGTGAAATGATCATCTAATTTCTTCTCTGACGAGACGAGCAGTGCTCCGCTGATGAAGACAAAGGATGTTGAAGATGACGTTTTTGGCACCAGTTGTAATAACTGTGTGTATCGCTTAGCATAGTTAATCGCTATGCGTTTACCAAACATAAAAGTCCAATCCACGTCATTCTAGCATAATAGAATAAATTTGTAATACACTAAAATCTATAAATTAGATCACACTGTGCATGTGGATTCAAGATGTTAAAGGACTTGTATGTATGCTGTGTACCCACCAGGGAGTCACTTCATGTTGACCACACAGTGTTAAAATATGCCGGCTGTCTCTTTCTCACATAGTCTCTGGATAATTAGTCTCTATGTAGGGGGAGCCTATCCCTCAGCTGTGCGTTACCACCGATCGCTGGTCCTTACAGTAACCACACACATACACGCACATACATAATATTCCATCTCCTTTATACTTAGATGCATATAGTTGAATACCAATACAGTAGATATTCACTCCCTCCCTCCAGGTTTCATTACAGTTATAAATAATTCAAGAGATAATTCAAGGGTGGTGGTGGTGGTGGTGGTGGTTGGGTTATAGGGGCCCCCGGGCCCTCTGCATCTGTCAGACAAACAACAACCTGTCAGCCACGCTTTGTTTATGAGCAGCCGCCTCCCCTGTGTTACCCCGCCTGACACATACATACATTATAAAAACATACATA